CGGGACGGCCGGGGGGGCGGGAGGGGACCGCTACGGTCCCGGAGAGCGAGTGAAGGGCCGTCCCAGGGGGGTCCTGAGGGGACCTAGGGGCGGGAGGCGACCGGTTCGACTTGAGGTGGGAGTGTAGGCACCCCGGAGCGGGGGAGATTGACCGGGACCGGCCGAGAGAAAGGTTAAGAGGGGCCAGAACCCGCTGGGAGTGGGACTGAGCACGTCTGTAAGAGGGGCTACTGAGAGAGACGACTCGGTGCCCGGAAGGAAGGCTGAGAGAACTCGGGGAAGGGTGTGGAGAGGAGTTGGAGGCGTCTGAGAAGGACCTGAGTAGTCTCATATGAGAGTGAGCAAAAGCTCGCGGGGTGCTAGAGACTCCCACCTGTCCCTGGGGACCAGACGTGGGATAGAGGGAGCGTCTAGGGGCCCTTGGGATCCGGTCGAAAGCGGCTCCTGGCTGGCAGCCGCGATGAGGATGGAAAGGAAGTCCGGGAGCCTGGAATGGGGTGTGTTTGGGGGCGTTTGAATGGGGAGCATTCAAAAGATCGCTGTGTAAGGACACTGGCGGTGGGAAGAGGTTTTCGAAGGGCCCTAGGGTGAAAGTGCGTTCCCTGCCCTCTGAAGAAGAAACTTTGGGGAGTTCGGACAGCTTGCTGAGTAGGGTTCCCTGGGGTGGAAGCGTGGGCAGGAGAGAGGACGTACCCTAGATATGTCCAGCCGGAAGAGCTTGAGAGTGGAAGCGCTAATTTGGGAGCATGGATGAGTGGTGGCGATGGAGGTGAGTGTAGGATGTCAGGTAGAGAGCCCTTCACCGGAGTAGGGGTTGGTCCAGCATGTCCAGTGTGGAAATGAAGGGTTCTAGGATGAGACCAATGAGGAGGTACCCTGGGATGATGTATTGGGGGGAGCGTTTTGTAGAGAGGAAGGCAGAAAGAGGTGGCATCTCAGGGGAACCCAGGGAGGAGATGTGTTTGTGGAAGTTTCTGGGAAAGGACCTCATGGTTCGTGAAGTAGCTTGGGAGCAAGATGTGCCTGGGGATGTTGAATGGAAGAGGAGTAGGCTGGATTTTATGACTTACTGAAGTGTTGGGTCCATTGGTAAAGCCTGGGAATCAGAGATGGGAGGATTTGAGGGGATCTGGGTATGGACCACCAGGAGTCTTGATTGTTCCTGGGCTGGGGTATCATTAGCAGAAGTTGTCAGTACTTGCTTCTAGCAGCCCATCTTTCCCCTTCTGATTTGATGTTTCCTATCTGGTTGAAGTGGGTACACAAATAACTGATTAGAATTTTGTCTAGGAGCATCCCGCAATTCTCCCACCCCCACTGGGAATCTTAGCTTTCGGTAGCTAAGGCTTGGTGCTGAGGTGGAAGAGGAGTCTTTTATGTAAGCACTTTTCCCTTTTGTGTCCTGATCCTGATCTCTGGAGCTCTTCCCCAGCATACATCTCATTAGATCTTCTAAATGTCCCATTGTGTAGGCAGTGCCAGTGTCTTATCTCACTCAGCAATAACAAGAGCAGCTGCTATTTATTGAGCACATACTGTGTCTGGGGCACTGTATTATGCACTTTAAAGACATGCATCATTTAATTCTTGCAACATGTGGGAGGGTAAATGATATCTGCTCCCCCAATTTTAAAAAATGTTCAGAAGAGGAAATGGAGGCTTTGAGAAGGATTCCAGCAGAGGAGTGACAAGGGCTCTATACCTCTCTCTGCCCATGCAGTATATCTCTCTGCCACCCTGTAAAGATGAAAACACTGGTTCAGGTAAGCCAAGTGGCCTCCTCACAGTCACCCAGCAGTCATAGTGATACCGGAATTTCATCTTCAGTAGGTTCTTGGTCTTGGTGATTTGAAGAATGAATCCACGGACCACAGATCAGTGGTAAGACAGGATTTATTTTATTTTTATTTATTTATTTTTTTTTGCAGTTTTTTTTTGGCTGGTGCCAGTTTTGAACCCACCACCTCTGGTATATGGGGCTGGTACCCTACTCCTTTGAGCCACAGGTGCCGCCCAAGACAGGGTTTATTTTACAGAAAAGAATACAAAAACACGGCTCGGCGCCTGTGGCTCAAGTGGCTAAGGTGCCAGCCACATACACCTGAACTTGCGGGTTCGAATCCAGCTTGGCCTGCCAAATAATAATGATGGCTGCAAACAAAAAATAGCTGGGCGTGTGGCAGGCACCTGTAGTCCCAGCTACTTGGGAGGCAGAGGCAGAAGAATCACTTGAGCGCAGGAGTTGGAGGTTGCTGTGAGCTGTGATGCCATGGCACTCTACCCAGGGCAACAGCTTGAGGCTCTGTCTCAAAAAAAAAAAAAAGAATACACAAACACCAAAGCTCCTGGCAGAGAGAAACAAAACAACACAAGTTGGGGGGGGAGGGAAGCTCTCTCTCCCTGGGCTCTTTGTCCAGGGGTGTGTGTGTGTGTGTGTGTCTATCTATCTATCTATCTAGTTGCATAGGTCCTCTGTAGTTATATTTAGCCGCATGGGTCCACTGTAGTTACATTTGGCAGGACTCAGTGGTTACATTTAGCTGGCATGGGTCCTCTGTAGTTACATTTGGCCCTGGACTCCTTAACAAATGAATAGATACAATCCCTTTGATACCCAGGCCTAGGAAACCTCCTACATGAAGTTGACCAGGTCTGGGAAATGGGGGTTCCCTGTTCAGCTGCAAGTGCAAGTGGAGGGAGACACTAAGGTGCTGGTATCTCCCCAGCAGTTGTCTGGCCCCTCTGGCAACTGGAGCCTCCTGCCCTCCCCACCCCCACCCCCAAGCCCTCTGGTTCCTCAGCCGGCTGCCACTTCACCAACACCACCAGGGTGGAGGTGGCAATCTTTCCCTCAGCTCATCGGAGCTGGCTGGGGTGCCACCTGTCTTGTATCAATAACAGAGGTATGGGTCTTTGGAATTTTACAGTGTAAACCCTATAGCACCCACCATACCACCTTTGATCTTTGAGATTCTAGAGGAAAGATGTATGCTTCTCCACTCACTTAGTGACCCTTCTTGGAATTTGAGAGGAACTTCTGGGAAACAGAGAGGAACTTAGGCTCTGTCTTATTTAGGCTTTAGCATCATCACTTTTGTTTTTTATTCTTTTAAGAATTCGAGCATTTGGTGTGTGTATGTATACACACATATGTGAGTGAACAGGGAAAGTTCCTCCCTTTGTCCCTTGCCTACTCCTCTCTCCAGCTTTCCTCCCCAGCTGTACTGTTATAAAAGTAGTTGTGTGTGTGGGCGGCACCTGTGGTTCAGTGGGTGGGGTGCCGGCCCCATATACCACGGAGGCTGGCGGGTTCAAACCCAGCCCTGGCCAAACTGCAACAAAAAAATGGCTGGGCATTGCAGCGGGCACCTGTAGTCCCAGCTACTCAGGAGGTTGAGGCAAGAGAATTGCCTAAGCCCAGGAGTTGAAGGTTTCTGTGAGCTGTGTGATGCCATGGCACTCTACCAAGGGCGATAAAGTGAGAGTCTTGTCTCTACAAAAAAGAAAAGTTGTGTGTGTGTAATACATGAGATCATCTTACATTTATCATTTTGTGACTTTTTTCACATAATGTGTTTTGGTGTTCCTTTCATATCAGCACAGAGAGCTCTCTCTTTTTGGAGAGAGAGTCTCCCTCTGTTATCTGGGCTAGAGTGCAGTGGTGTCATTACAGCTCACAGGAACCCCAACTTGGGGCTGAAGCGATCCTTCTGCCTCAGCCTCCCGAGTAGCTGGGACTATAGGTGTAAGCCACTGTGCCTGGCCTCTTTCTCATTATTTTTGATAACTGCATAGCATTCCATTGGATGTTGGTACCATAGCTTATTAGTTTAACTTATTTAGTTTATTTAGCTAATTTAGTTTAGCTTATTTAGTTTAACCCCTCTTGATGGCCTTTTAGACTATTTCTAGTTTTTCTCCATCAGACATGGCTGCAGTGAATGTCCTTTATGCCCATGTGAGAATTAGGCAGAACAGATGGAGGGAATAGCAGAGTAGATGTGTTTATCAAATGGTGATTGGCTCTGCCACATTGCCCCACCATATTACACCCCCAGCAGCACTTCTTTCTACACACCTTTACTTGAGTACCTCCTTCTTACAGAAGGTGTGACTTCCCCTGTGAGATTCTCTAAGACCCGGACAGTATCAGCTTGTTTTGACAAGCTCTGAATAACTTTTCTCTGAAGAGCTGATATAGCTGTTCCTGGCAGAAGATGCTCTATCTGTTAAGTGCTGAGTACCTGTGTGCTGAATGGCAGCGAGGGCAGCCCCTTGTAAGATCCTGCCTAGAGGCACCCAGAGTGTAAAGCAAGCAGGTGGCAGAGCTGCAGTTTGATTTACGCAGGAATTTGCTATGTGAGGTGTTCCCAGAAGTAGGCAATAAGGCTTCTATCCTTTGGAAACTTCCATGCTGGCCGAGAAAACTAGCTTAAAAAGAAGACTTCAGAGAGCTATTCACGTTCATGCACAGTTGAGTTCTAGATTGTATGCTTCTGCCTCTGTTCTGTGGCACCTCTGAGAGGGTGAAGCTCTTTGAGGAACCTTTGGGGAAGGGATCTGAACTTGACGTTCATGTAGGAGCAGAGACTGGGAGTCAGCAATGAGTGCAGTGCCATCAGAGAAGGTGTAGAGCCGTCCCTTGCCCACTTCCAGCATCCCAGGGAGTCCTGAGGGATCCAGTGGGGACTCATTCCTCCAGCAACTGCTGAAGCTTGGGAAGAAGGCTTTTAGGAGATGCAGAGCTGGGTGGCTAGATGGTGCTGAGTGAGGAACTCTCCTTGAGGGGGGTGGGGTGGGAAATAAAGTTTCCAATTCAGAGGGGCCTCAGCTCCTGGGAATACTAAGATTCAAGGACTCCTTAGGAACCCTTTCAGATGCTCCTTTGCTAGAGAGTGAATAGCCAAAGGGTAGGAGAGGCCGCAGTAGGAGCCAGGTATCAGAATGGTTTGGGGGCACTTGCTCTCCTAGTCTGACCAGAGGGAGTGGCAGAGGGTGCTTATAGAGGACAGAGCACTTCCAAATTCCAGACCTGGTGCCCGCCCACCATGGCCCTTGCAGGGGTTGCTTTGCAGCCAGGGAGAAACTGTTTGGCCACTGACACTTGCCTTTTCTGATGGGATTCCACCAACCCGAGACACTTCACTCACATCTTTCTGGTCCTCTTTCCTCTTCTTTAACAAAGTCTGAGATCCTGGTGTGGTGACTGGGAAAGGGGAGATCAAGGCTAGGGGAGGTGGTGGGAGAGATGTGAGTGGGGAGGTGGGTACATAGTGGACTCTACCTTTTTCCCCCACAGACACCATCACTATGTCCATTGCTCCACTGCCATTTCCTCCTGGATTTCTGTGACTGCCCCCTTCTATGACTGGTGCCTCTGCCTCTAGCTTTGCTGTCTTTCCCCACCCTCCAATCAGTTCTCTAGTTATAGCTGGGGTTACTTTGTAACATGCAAATATGGTTACCTCTCTTCTGTGCCTACAGCCCTTCCATAGCTTTCCTGTACTTTTGGGATAATTTTGCACTTGGTAGCATGGCTTCTGTCCTTTGCCAGCCTCTACTTCTCTTAACTTTCCTCTGAAGCCTTTTACACATTCTCAAAACAGTGGCACTGGTCTCTAGAGTTCCTTAAGCTCACCATGCAACTTTTGTCGCTGTGCTCTGACAGCAGGCCAACTTTTAGTTAGCCTTAGGTCTCAGGTGAACTGTCACTTCCTTGTCCCTCCTCCCATAGCATACTTTGGTCACTCACTGTGGACCAAGTCATGCTATGTGAGTTGCTGCTCATGCCTGTCTCCAGCAAGAGCCATGTGTAGACAGGACCCATGTGGCTTTTCAGATACTCTGTAGTGCCTTCCACAGTACCTGACATGTGGTGGGCAGTCACCACATGGTGATGGGTTTGGATGAGTGTAGACTCTCAGCAGTCTATGCTGGGCAGGGAGGAGAAGGATCCATAACCAAAGCTTAGAAGGAAAGACAGGAAAGACCATAAGAAAGAAGCTTGGGGTTTGTGTTTGATGATTGACTTTTTCTTCTCT